GAGAGAGAGAGAGAGAGAGAGAGAGAGACAGAGTGCAAGCAGGGGAGGGACAGAGAGAGAGGGAGACACAGAAGCCTAAATAGGCTCCAGGTTCTGAGCTGTCACAGCACAGGGCCCGATGCGGGGCTTGAACTCATGAACTGAAAGATCATGACCTGAGCTGAAGTCGGACAGTTAACTCACTGAGCCACCCAGGTGTCCCAAGTAAAAGTTATGTTTAAATGAGACTTAGTGTACACGGATCACTACTATCTTTGCTGCAGACTGATTCAGTAATCCGCGTATGAATCAAACATCTGGGAATGCCAAAATGTGATACACTCGAGAGGTAAGCCAAGTTCCAACCAAGCTTGAAATTCCACGTGCTACTAAAATACAGAGAAACTGCATTTGGAAGATGGTGCAGTAGGAGGACCCTAAGCTCATCTCGTCCCAGGACACAACTAGACACAACCAGACTCACATTAGTGTTATTAGCCCAGAAAACGACCTGAAGATGGGCAGAACAGACTCTGCAAATAAATGTAGAGAAGAAGCTACATCCAAGAGGGTAGGGAGTATGGAGACAGGGTGGGGAGCTAAATGAAAGTGGGGCTGTGCACAGAGGGAGGAACCTGCTGGCACAGAAGAGGGGAGAGAAACAGACCGTCACACAGGGGGGCCTGCACGGGAAGACAAATCCACATAACACCGGCTTTGTAACCAGAGAGGCTAAATTTTGTGAATTCTTATAATCAGAAAAACTTAAAACCTGGAAGTTAAAAAAATCAGCAGACTTGGGCGCCTGGGTGGCTCGGTTGAGCATGTCTCAATTTTGACTCAGGACACGATCTCACAGTTTGTGGGGTCGAGCCCTGTGTCAGGCTCTGTGCTGACAGTGTGGAGCCTGCTTGGGATTCTCTCTGTCTCTCTCTCTCTCTGCCCCTCCCCCATTTGTTCTCACTGTCTCTCAAAATAAGTAAATAAACTTAAAAAATATATAACTAAAATCAATCAATCAATCAATCAATCAATCAGCAGGCTCAACTTTGGGAGAGCCAAGAAGTCAAGAGGAAACTGAGTCCCTGCCTTTAAAGAGCCAACACGAGAAACAGCCCAGGGGAGATACAGCATAGAAGCAGCAGTGTGAGAGCGTGTCCTGGAGGAGTCTCCCAAAGGTGTCTGTCCCTCCGGGACACACAAAACAAAGGACCTGGCAGGTGCCATTTCCCTCCACACCCACAGCCAGGCCTGCCTCAGTGCCAGCGCTGTGGTCTCCTCCCCCAGGAGACCCAACAAACCTTGAGAACACGGACACTCCTACACCCTGGGCACTTTGTGCATCCACACACTCCAGGGCAGGGGCCCATCAGAAGCAGCACCGCCAAGCCTGGCTGTGTGCAAGCAGCCCCAATGGGGGCCAGCACCGCTCCAGAGTACCTCCTGCCCAGGGACAGGGGAAGGTCAGAATGTGACCCCAGCAGTGGGCTGGGGGCAGAAAGCTGATCTAACTGTAGGCCCTGTCCGCCAATGAAAGCTTCTCAGGGGATAATGCTGGAAAGCAGCCTGCAGTTCGGTGCTACTGCATCTCTGACAAATGCCTGGTGTGACTCAACTCAAGCCCAAGGCGGCACCAGACTGGCCCACTAACACCACAGAGACCAAACATCGCCCAGAGCAGGCAAAGAGCCACTGCAGACAGCGGGACTGAAGGTAAACGTGGCCCAGACACAACAGTCAGGTGCACTCCAAACACACAGGAGACACCTCTGAAACGCCAGGTTTTGGTGAACAGGGGACGGTGTCCTGCAGGCACACAGGACCTGTTCTTCACAAGGCCACTGCCTTCAAAAGCAGGAGACATAGCTGACTTTCCTAATACATAGAAACAGACAGGGAGACAAAATGAGGCAGAAGGATACGTCCCAAATAAAAGAACAGGACAAAATCACAGCAAGAGACCTACGTGAAATGGAGATAAGCAACATGCCTGATAGAAAATATAGGGCAATGATCATATAGTTACTGGACTTAAGAGTGGAGGACATTAGTAAGACCCTTAACAAGGACATAAAAAAGAACCAATCAGAGATGAAGAACACAATAAATGAAATTAAAAATACACTAGATAGAATAAATGGAGGAAGCAGAAGAACATATCCATTGAGGACAGAGTAGTGGAAAGTAATCGAGCTTATTAGCAGGTGAGAGACAAACAAGTTATAAACGAGAATAGACTTAGGGAACCCAGTGACACATCAAGTGTAATAACATTCGCAATGCAGGATCCCAGAAGGAAAAGAGAAAAGGGAGAGCAAATTTATGTGAAGAAATAACTGCTGACAACGTCAAGAATCTGGGAAAGGAAACAAATCCAGATCCAGGAGTCACAGAGACAGTCCAACAAAATCAACCCAGCAGGTCCACACCAAGACATATGGTAATTAAAATGGCAAAAAGTGGTGATAAAGAGAGGATATTAAAAGCAGCAAGAGAAAAGAAGAACATCAAATACAAAGGAAACCCCATAAGGCTATCAGCTAATTTTTCAGCAGAAACTACAGGGAAGAAGGGAGTGGCAGGATATATTCAAAGTGATGAAAGGAAAACAATCTGCAGCCAAAATTACTCTATCCAGCAAGGCTATCATTCAGAACAGGAGAGATAAAGAGTTTCTCAGACAAACAAGTATAAGGAATTTATCACCACTAACCCAGCCTTATAAATGTTAAAGGGGACTCTTGGGAAAGACTGTGAGAGTATGAAAAGTAGGAAACACAAAAGCAGTAGAAATAAGTATATCTGTAAAAAATCAATCAAGGGACTCACAAAATAGAAGGATGTAAAGTATGACACCATATACCTAAAATGTGGGAGAGGAGTAAAGGACGGTTCAAACTAAAGTGAACACCAGCTTAACACAGACCGCTATATTAGCAGAAGATGTTATTTACAAACCTAATGGTAACCACAAATCAAAAGCCAGTAATAGATATGCAAAAAATAAAGAGAAAGGAATCCAAGTATATCACTATAGAAAGCCAACTAATCGTGAGAGAAGAGAGCAAGGGAACAAAGGAACACAGAAGAACTACAAAAGCTACCATAAAACAAGTAACAAAATGGCAAAAGGTACATATCTATCAATAATTACTTTGAATGTAAATGGACTAAATGCTCCAAAAGACATAGGGTGACAGAATGGATAAAAAAACAAGACCCATCTATATACTGCTTATAAGACACTCATTTCAGACTTAAAGACACTAACAGACTGAAGGTGAAGGGATGGAGAAACGTTTATCATGCACATGAATGTGAAAAGAAAGCTGGGGTAGCAATGCTTAGATGGAAAAAATAGTTTTAAAACAAATACTGCAACAAGAGACAAAGAAGGATGCTACAATAATCATAAAGCAAACAATCCAACAAGATATAAGAATTGTAAACATTAATGTACCCAACATGAAAGCACCCAAATACGTTAAACAGTTAATAACAAACATAAAGGAAGTAATCAATACAATAATAATAGTAGGGGACTTTTAACACCCCACTTACATCAATGAACAGATCATCCAAACAGAGTATCACCAGG